AATTTTACGTCAAAATATTCAATAGTGTTTGAGTTAAACTTGGTTTTGTGAACAGAACAGATTCCGACGATTTTCGAAATGTCTGAATCAATTGAGGAAAGAACTTTCGTTAAGTTTTGCTCTCAGAAACGTATAGAATGATGCAGAAGGCATTCGGTGAGCATTCCTATATCGGAAAGAAATGTTTAGAAGTCGTAAAAACAGTTCAAAGGCACAAGAACGCGTTGAAGACAAAATGCCCTCTGGTCGACCACCTACTTCAACTGACGAAGATCACGTCCAAAAAATTAAATATTTGGTGCTTGAAAACCGTCGATTTACTATTAGTGTCCCTCACTGATGATGTTGTTATTTCAAAATTTCATTTTAAAAGATGTCTTGCGCCTCAAACGCGTCAAACCCTGATTGGTACCGAAAACATTGAATGAGTCAGCTCACTCTGGATTGATTCTTCGTGGCTTTTTCGCCAAAATGAAACCCTTATCGTTCCACAACTACGTATTCACCTAATTCGGCATCGTGCCGTTGTTTTATCTTCGTTCATCAGATTTTGCGCCAGGTTATTCGAATTGGAACCTAATGTGTTATTCAACAAGCTCCATCTCCCCATTTTTGAAATCTTGGCACTGTAAGTTAAAATTTAGCTGAAAATATAGTTGGTTAAAGAAAAGTTAATTATAGTGCTATTATTGACTGGAAGTCTGTCTAAGCAAGATTCATATTCTTTAATATCAACTATTGTTTATATATTCTAGGTATCATGTATTTTGAGCAACTGTTATCTATTTGTTTTAGAAAAAGCAACTTATTAAACATTTTTAGAAAGAAGTATATATAAAATAATATATTTATAAATAAGTACATACAATAAATTTTATTTTTAAAAAAAAATTTTTATTTCGAGTAGTTTCTAAAGAAGAGAGAAAATTAAATTTTATTTTTTAAATTTAATCTATTAAATATTATCTAATTTTCACAAACAATAATATATCTCTGCATGCTACAACATATGGATTTATATGATTTACACATGCTACACCTGTTTTTTTTTACGTTCAAAACAGTTTTAATAATTGTTTTGAACTTAAAATGTCCATGACAGACATTATTTCATTAATGAAATATTTAATTATATGTCAATAGATTTTTATAAAAGCAAGATAAATTCAATTTTTCAATCCAAGCTAATTTCAATTGACAAAATAAATCAATGTCATTTATTTAAGGGAATATATTTCTTTTAAAAGATCCAAATAAAAATAATTTGATATTCTTTTTCATTTTGAACTAAAAATAATCACCTTTCCTCACGACGAGGCTTGCAAAGAATAAATTAAAAAAATTACAAAAAACTATTTACATCAAATAAATACATACATGGAAATGTTCATGTAAAGATATTAGTACGCCTACACTCACAGGGCAGGATGTTACATGACAAAAAATACAGATATAACAAAATCACGAAAAATGTTTCTGTACCCAGGGAGTTAAACAAAACTGATTTTTTTAAAGCTTGCTTTAGCCAGTAAATTTTCGTGAAATGCTGGAGAAGATGTTCGGTATGATGTTTATGTTGTCTGCAGTCGCCGATGAACTCAAGCTTGAATCGGGGAGATAAATATTTGAAATTTCCATATTTACTTAGGACCATGGTAGGTAAATGATTTAAATGTTATTTAAGAAAAATTGGTAGATAAATGTTATTTAAGAAAAATTGGTAAATAAATGTTCCTTCAGAAAAATTCGTAGATAAATATTTATATTTATTTCTGTGCAAAATAGATGGGAAAAATTTCTTGACTCAAGTACTATGTGTAGAGTATGTGAGATATTCGAAGTTCGACACCATGATTACATTACATAATTATTTGAGACCATTATTACATTGCATGATTATTCGAGACCATGAATACATTTATAGGAGCATCTATCGTAGCATTGATGCTCATGTAGTATGTTCCTTAGCTAAAATATCAGCTTTTAGTTTTTCTCAGCTGTTATTCTTGTAGGGCCAAGAACATGAGTGAAATCTATAATCAGTTTTATTCAAAGAACTCTTTATTGGGGATCTGTGTTTGAATAATAAGTTTCTCAAATCATTCCAAACCGAAAGGAAACCGTAATAAAAAAGATTCGCTGCAAGCAAAGAATTGGCAGCGAAGAAAAGATGCGAGAATATTATACTGAAATTTCACAACAAAATTTACTACAGACATTCTGTTTGGAGGCGGACTGCTCATAATGAATTCGAAATTGTTAAAAACAATTTTCTACTGCTTTCATTTAGATAACAAATGGCAAACGTGTTTTATAATAAATATTACTTCCATCAATGAGCATTCTAACAATGATAATTTGTATAATGTCCTTTGTTTCTTACCTCACTTTATCGACAGCAACATCTAGACCAAGTGTAAGAATCCGTGTGGTCTCATGGAAAGAGAGAAATGGGCGGGCAGCTTCTGTTGAGATGAAATTTTTGCCGCATTTGTGTATTGTATGGGACAAAAACTCCCTAAAACTCCCACCAGATAGTTTGACAAACGAGGTAAGATGCTGAACAACACAAACGCCATTGAATCTTCTCGTTTTTGACCAGCATCTACAACAAAGCTGCCAGTGGATTGAACCGCAGCCCTAATGCTCGCTGAATGTGCATTTTGCCATTGGGCCATGAATCGGGCTCATATAATGTGAGAGGATTATAGAAGACATGATTTTGAAGGATGTGACAAACATACTTAATATATTTTCCCATGTAGGGAATAACATTGAAATAAAGTGATGGCATCTGAAGCCTATTTTAAAATTCAGATTCTCAAAATCAATTGGTGGTAAGGCAGATATAGTACCGAAGACTTCATAATAACTACTTATCCTCGTACTGTTCTTAGCAAAAAAAAAAAAACACCTTTGAATTTTCCTTAATTATTTACTTTAAGGTTAAGCTTTTTGTCAATTCTCTCACCCCAAACTATAAAACCATGAGTAAAAATATTCATAACATCTTCATAATTTCAAATGAATATGTATAATTTTAGAGAAATTATTTAGCTAATTTTTATTTCTTCGCATTTATTAGAAAGGTAAGATACATGATTTTTTCCAGTTTCTTTTGTAATGTAGTATAGCACCCAAATATTTGCTGTTATTGTTCTTGCTTCTTATCCCACTCGGTAGACATCTAGACCAGCTCATGAACCTATGTAGTTTCATGGTGGAAGGAAAAGGTGGCAGATTATGTAGTGATGGTGCACCCGAAGGTAAAAGTCTGATGGCTCCGTGATGCTGACTTTTTACGGGACAGGGTTGTCAGCCTTAAGTCCAACGCTCGATAGTCATATTAGACAGGGATCTACAGCTTAAAGTGGATTCTGAAGCACTATAAATATCCATGGCGCTGCCGGGACTCAAATCTAACTCCTGTGGCACAGAGCGCTAGTCACACGCCCACACAGGCAAACAAAAATATTTAATTTGCTGTACTTCCTCAACAGATGCCTCAACAAAAATCAAATTTGATTGTTCTATCCGTTCACAATAGGCTTTATGATAAATAATAAAAAGCTTCATATCTATCATTATAGTATCATATGTATCTTCATATTCTTATCATATCTTCATTATACGAACTTTCATATTTAATGTCTTATTGTCTAACATTAAAAACAGTTTCGTCTTTTTCTCGTCATTTCCATGAGTGGCGATTTTTATGCGTTATTTTCATTACTCGATAAATCCAAATGTTGGGAGAAAGTTTTATGCAAAAAAAAAAATTTAAATCTACTTCAAATATCTCCTTTTTATCTCCGAATAAATTGATAAATTTAACAATAATAAATAGACGCACTAGATAATATTAGGAAACATATTCCTGAAATTGAAAATAGAATTTACAAGGTGTAAAAGGCAATTTGTTCCATTTTTAAATAAATTCAAATAATACTCTTCAAAATGTTGATCATAGAATTTTCATGTTTTTTGCATTCTATTTTAACACTGTCAAACATGTATTTTTCAACTTTAAACTATCTGTCATAAACTATTCTTTCCAACTAAAATGTTGTAAAATAATTCTTGAGCTTGGAAAATTTACCTGATGAATGAAAATTGCCTATTTTATGAAGATGGTATTTGATATCGCTGCAATTTACTGACTCATTTTGCGTTGAAATATTATGACACTTTGTAAGAGCTGATGGTAAAACAATAAACACTTTATACGAGTGGGGCTCATAAACTGCATATATACTTAATGACCATGAAATGAATTTCTGTCAAGTTGCTCGTTTTCGCAATATTACTGAAAATATTAAACAAAAATGTCTTTAATGATCGGAATAACTGCTGTGTCATGCATTCGTGTCAGGAATTTCATTACATTTTTGGAAAATGCGATCGTAAATTTAACAAAACTGTTAATATCAATATACTTTTAAAAATAGAATTAACAGCTTTACCAAAGAATAATACGTATATATTTAGAAATGATAAATATGTTATAAAAGACTCATTTTCAAAAATCTTTTATACTTTATTAGAAATTTTAGTTTTTCATTTCTTTTTAGTCTTTTGATAAATGTGTAGAATCTTTTGTATGTGAAGAATAACCATGCTTCAAATAATACATAAGAAATAAATGTCTCATGAGAACATGCAATATTTATATGATCTTGGTTCATTGTTCAGAGGCTGACTCATATTAAAGAGCTTTACATTTGAAAACATGTCTTATATGATATATACACTGAAGAGCCAAATCATTATGACCACCTGTCAATAGCGAGTTCGCCCACCTTTGGCGCGCAACACAGCTTCAACCCGCCTTGGCATGGATTAATACCACCACTTAATAGCAGTTAAATACCACTTCCACCTGATCACGTGCCTTCCCGTCATCCAGGCGAGTTCATTGCAAAATGTAGGGGTGATCATAATGTTGTGGCTCTTTAGTGTATGTGTACTATGTATATGTATATATATATATATATGAGCCAACGGTCATACCATGCTGAATATACCGGTTCACCGAAGTCAAGCATCATTGAGCGCAGACAGTACTTGGGTGGGTGACCACCTGGGAACACCGCGTGCCGTTGGCATTCACAAATTTGGGACCTGAATGGCCGAGTGTCTAGCGCTCTGGCGCTCGGTGCCACAGGTTTCGGGTTCGAGTCCAGGCGGTGCCATGGATGTTTGTAGTGGTTCGGAATCCATTTTAAGCCGTAGGTCCCGGTCTCCTATGACTGTAAGAGCGTCACGGAGCCAGTCAAAAGTCAGACTTCTACCTACGGGTGCTCCATCACAACAGAAGCTGCTTCCTTCCCCTTCAATCATGAGTACGTATGGGCTCGTGGGCTTGGCCAACCAAGTGGGATAAGAAACAACAACATATGTGTGTGTGTGGGGGGGGCCTGATGGCCGAGTGATTAGCACTCTGAGGCTGAGTGATATCGGTTTCGGCTTCACGTCCCGGTGGTGCCATGAATCTTTAATTGTTCGGTATCCACTTTAAATTGTAGATCCCGGTCTAACATGGCTGTAGTCCTGACAAACCTACCCCTACCGCGCAAAAAAAAAAAAATCTCTTGTCTATAAATCTGTATAATATATATATATATATATATATATATATATATATATATATATATATATATATATATAAGATTCAGCGTTATACATTTAGTAAAACCCTACACGTTATTCCCATAATAACGCCATGATATTGATATACCATACACGTTATTCCCATTATATCACCATCGCTCTATACACTATTCCCGTTATAACATCATGATATTGAATAATTGTTGGTGGCAGATTTTCAAAGTTCGCTTCGTTTTCGTTCTTGTTCGGGATTAAAAGAGAACATTCTGAATTTTGATTTACCGTTACAACTCATGAAATTGTTTCGATAACTTTCGATTTGGCTTTACTTGATGTGGTTTAAACTGAATTACACAATTTTGGAACAAAAAGTGTTATTTATTAAATCGCTTCTGGTTCAGAAGTAATATGTAAAAAATTTTAGACGTTGAGTATAAAATAAAACTTCATTTTAATATTTTTAAATAAAAAGAACTACTAGAAAAACATCATTATAATTCGTTTGAAAATTTCTTTTTTCCCTGTTCAAGTTTCATTTATGCATACGATAAGATTGCTAAAACAATAGCTTCGAAATTTTACATATTATGAATAAAGGCTTAAATATAATGGAACCGAACGGGCGATTTTTTTTTTATCTGAATTAATGAAATACTATGCTGTGAAAAAAAAAAGGAAATTCATTTAAAATTAATTTCAGACATACTGCTTCATTACTCTGAACAAATATTTGCTGAAATATTGGATATTTTATTTTTAATGATTGATCGTCTTAAAAGATTTTTAATAAAAAAACAAACCTTTTTCAGTGTAAAAGTAAAGATAAAGTATATTATAAAATTTTTAAAAATATTGTCGTTTAAAAAGTACATAATATTTTTTTAATTATCTTTTTTATTTAAACTACTTTTGCTAATAGTAATTCATCTTCCATGGATTTAATAATTTTCCCATTTAACAAAAGATATTTCATTGTTTAAATTTATTTAAATTGCTAGTAATTATTTTATGTTTAACAAGTAATATATAAAAAAAATTAAAGTCAATTCCTACTTTTTTCACAGTATTGCAGAAAGTCCTTTATAAATAATTTTCATTCATTTTTTAAGTTTAGCTGGCGCCATCTATTGGTAGATATATGCAACTTAAATCAAAAAAAAAACTAAAATTAATTAATTAAATTTAATTAATTAATTAATATTTGAAAAAAAACTGTATTAACATTAATTGTCATCCACTACAAGTTCAAAAAAAAGGTATTTGAATTTTAGTGGATGAATAAAAATGTATTCTTATTAACGATGGAAAATTTGAACAAGATATATATAGGGAAAGTGTAAGCTAATAGAAGGAATTGAATAACACAATAAAAATGAAGAACTACTAAGTAATCAATTTTTTATACTTCTAAATAAAGAATATGTCATGGTTTCTGTATTTCTTTGAAACTGTGATTTTCGATTTACATAATGCAACAAAAATTAAGACAAATTATAAGACAAATTTTCGTAATTAGGATTAATGCTGGATTCTGAAATTCTTAAAATAGATTATAGATCAAAAGTAGAAACATATAAGTATTTTTATATTACAGTAATATTTTAATAACGCATTTTTTGACTTAAATTAAATCTTAACTTTGTTTATTAATTCAGAAATATATATATATATATATGTATATATATATTATATATATATATATATATATATATATATATATATATATATATATATATATATATATATATATATATATATATATATATATATATATATATATATATATATTTATATATATGTGTATATATACAGGATATAGTCTATGGCTGTTGTCAAACACCTTCTGTTTGGTTATAGTAAAGTAGAAAAGAAGGGCTTCGTTAGATTGTTTACAGCGACATTTAACGACTAACAGAGGGGTCAGAGATCTTTTCTCTGAAATACTGGAAAAAATAATTTATTTATAAAGTTTGAGAAAGTTCTTGACTTAGTAAAATTAAACAAATTATGGACAATAATGATAAACTTAAAAAAATTAAAATCCTGGTTATTTGTTCAGAATTTGCAACACTCTCTCGTCACGACAAAGCTAGAAAACGAAAATGAAAAATTATTATCAACGGATACATTTATTTTCAGTCATTAATATGCTCTCCATCAACTGCAATACAAGCTTACTACTCTTGCAATGCACGCCTGCCTGCATGCTTTTGAAATTCATCCGGCATATTTTGTAGCATATCAGATAAGACTACGGCATAATCAAGAGTAATCTTTTAAATGTCCTTCAATCGTGGAATATCTGCATATATCTACTGATTGGTCAAAGAAAAAAATTCAATTAGGTAAGATCACGTAAGTGTGGAAACCATTCAAACGATTATCATATCCAATTATTTGATGCTTGAATGTGTCACTGCTTTTACTTCTGATATTTTATTCAAAAGGGAGCTGTCACTTTGTATCCATACGTTCCACAGCCGACCAATGACAGATTCTGAACAAAATAGCATATTACATCTTGCAGTAACTCCAAGTATAGATCGTGCATCAGTGAACGTCTACAATCGAAAGTTCCAACAAACCAATATTCGGCGAGCGTACATAATGTCGTACTTCAACATGACGGATTTCTTTCATGTAGGATTTCTCAACATCGACTAACGAATGTTGTTTTTTTCAGGGACTTATTCAGAGGCGTATTACAGTGTATACAACTGATATTTCCTGTATCTCATATACGGTTTTGAACCGTATCTCTAAGGTTCTCTAAAATCCACTTTAAACCTTAGGTTCTGTCTAATTAGTCCTTGTAAACAACTAATGACAATAGAAGTACAAATCAAGGGGTTAGCTGTAGTGCTAACAACGTAATCCCGTAAAAAAATTCTCATATTTAGAAATCTCAGTCAGAAGAAATCGGACAGTTCTCATCTAGGAAATTAGTATCAGGATGGGCGTGGCTGGTGGAAGCTGATTGATACAGTCTTGGGCGGTAACCGGCTGTAGTGTTGAGAAGAAAAAGGTGATTTATTAATTTAGAATCAATCTGATGATTAATAATAAATCTTATCTAAACGAGTAAGTTACTGCGTTTTTGTACAACGTATTGTATTCCAACATTAAAAATGTTTTTCTTGAATGTCGGATCCTTTAATCTGAGATCATTCATTGTTGAAACAGCAGAAATTTAGCAAATTCTGTGTTACCTAGGTGCATCATCGGTAACGTAATGCATTGCATCATCATTTTGCGACAACAACTTTTAAGAAACATTGAATTTAACATCTAGGTTTCACAGTACCCTCGAGTTTATTACAACATTTAGATTTATTGTACTCCTTACCGGTATAGACAAGGAAGATTTCGATTTGAAATACATTAAACACCATTGGTCCGAAATTCCAAAACCTATCCACCTGGCTGCTTCAGCTCTAATTAAAACAACATAGTTTTTCATTAGTTTTGCATCATGTAATATATATCTGATTTATTTAATATAAGATATATTTTCGATAAGCATTCCGGGAGAATATGTACTACGAGTTATTAAGCATTAAATACCAACCATTACATTTATGGATTCCTCAAAAATATGGCACGCGGAATTAAATCAACGATTATGTACCTGTAATCGCTTTATGTTTGAATTTCGCCTTCAGATTCGCCTTTTGAATGGGCACCAACTAATAGCCATAAATCAGAAGTTGTCAGGGATACTTCGGCCTAATTAAAATCGAAGCGTGCTCCGAAGTTAGATTAATAGATCAATTACTCTAATGTTTAAGAAAGCATAAACTCAGGGCCGCTCATTAAAGATGCTTTAGCTTCGTGTCGAATATTTGGATATTCTTACAGGCGCTAATGAAAATGTTTAAGTAAATTCATAGCAAAAATATTGATGCATCTTTTAAGTGTCTCTCCGGTTGGAACATCAGAAAGCTTCCATTTGCATGTCTTGTTCTCTTTGAATATTTTAGTTAATTAAACGCGAGATTGTTCCAGGTATTTTAACTTGACTTGATTGTTAAAAGGATTCATGTTTGCGATGCATTATTATTTCAAGGGGGAGATGGAGATACATTTGATTGGTCTATAAACGCTGAGATGTAGTTTAAAAATATTTATAATCTTATTAACTGTTTTAGAATAAAGTCCCTATTACAAAATGAGTAGTTGGTAATTTGTTTGATCACGTTGTAGTTTTCGACAAGACATGAATGCTTTCCTTTTTGGAAGTATTATATTGATTTTATAATATTTGTACTTTAATAGTAAATTATTTTGATCATGTCGTTTCCCATTTGATAATAATAATTTTTCAGTTTAAAGAGTAAATATTTTATTTTAATAGGAAATTATTTACCATTTAATAAATTAATTATAGTGTATTATCTACTAGACTGTAATTTTTCTATTTTAATAGTAACTTTTTATGCTATTTTTATTTTAATGGAATATTATTTTGATCATATTTTTTTTTTTTATCTA